AAAAAAAAAAGAAGTGTTCCATAGTATTGTCTGGGGACTATGAGACACCAGCCTATTTGGCATTAAGAGGAAAAGCGTGTACTTTCAGATAGTGAATGAACCCAGCACCAGCCAGGAGCTATGTACCTTGGGGACAGACCCCGCCGTACCCAGGGATCGTGGGCATTTGGCATGACTGCTGCCAGCTGTTCCCTCAAACACTGTGTGTGTGGTTCACTCAGATCTGTTTTCCTTTCATTTAAATCACACTCTGCTATCACAGGGCTTTTAAAAAGAGGAGACCCCCTAAGCAAGAGGAGAGCAATGGTTCCCGACAGAAAAGCACATCGGGCCCACATTCAGGAGGAGGGGACCCCAAGACTCTGCCTGCCCCAGAGCCTCAGAGGCTGAGCTGGCAGAATCCACATTCAAAGGGGGGTCCCCTCAGACATGTGGTGGACAGTGAGCAAGCCATCCCTGGGTCACAGCACCCCAAGAACAGCCACCCTCAACCATTACCTCTTCCTTCCCGTGGTGTAATTCATTAGAAAGAAGCTGGAGGGCAGTGCCGTGGGAAATTTTCAAATTCTCGAACTGGTGCGAGACAGCTCTCCCAAACCAGGCAATATGGTCAGCTTCATAGCACCTGCCCTGTGAGCGCTTACTATGCTGAGCACAATACAAGTTATGACTTGTTAAGTCCTCCCAACAAAACCCACCAATTTACCAGCATCCCCCGCCCCCAAAATCCTCATCTCTCACCTGCCCAAATTAACTCTGTGAGTTTTTCTGTTTTATCACTGAATCAGGATAATTACTAGGGAAGACAAGATGTTCTTTTAAAAAAATGAACCATTGTAGAAGATAGAGCATCCGAATGAGAGAAAAACTTCCTTTGATCTTGGAGAGGAAGAAGGGTTAGGAATAGAAATGACAGACTTTGACCAGTTGTGTCACCAGGGTCGGGACATCAGAAGAGAAACCACTGATGGTCAAGCAGACTTTCAGAAGTTTGTCCTGAAGGTCCTGCCAAGTCCCAGTCCTATAGTGCCATCACAAAAAAGGCCAGAAGCCCCACACCAAACACAACTTTGTATCTTTCCCTGTTTACCCGGAGGTCCTACCCGCTCCCAAAGGGACTGGAGATGTTAACACACATGCACAAACCCAACTTGCTCTTCTTAGGTCCAAGCAGTTTTAGGGTTAAAGTGTTTAAGATTGGTTTTAAATGCAAGTTTGAGAAAGGATGAAGAACTCTCATGTTTTTGGGGGGCCTACTCTCAGCCTTTCCTACTCAGCCCCACCCTACTCTGGGCACTCCTCAACTTCTGGTTTGCACCCCTACGTTCTCCTGATCTAGGGCAGGGGATGGAAGATGCAGGCCAAAGGACAGCGGGGAACCTCATCTTACCTCAAAGCCACTCCCTCCTTACTAGGGAGCAGTGGGCGAACGAGCTCCACTCGGCAAACAACGTTCACCTGCAGAATGCACTGGGCGGCTCAACAGGCCTCAGGAAAGGTGCTCTATAATTCCACTACCTGAAAGTCCTCCAACCACACACTTCCTTAACTCACCTCCTAAGTATTTACTGAGCATCCAACCCGGTGTAGCTGCTGCCAGTGTAATACAATGGTCAAACATCAGTTATAGACCTACTGTGCGCAAAAATTCTGAGGGGTAGGATGACTATCCAGCCTCCCTCGGCACCAGGTGGCACCGAGGGCAGCACATATAACTTGGACCAAGCGAGGCCCATCCCTCAAGCCAATGATTTAATAGGGAAGATAATGGCTGACCAGCTTGAGCACTTACTGTGTCAGGCACTGCTGTACAGATATTAAGTCCTTCATCCTCAAAGCAGTGCTCCTATCTCTGTGTTGTTTCTTCAGCCCATTTTAAAGGTGAGAAAACTAAAGCTCAGAGACATCAAATAACTTTCCCGAGGTGAGACAGCAGGAAGGGGAGAGGTGGCATTCACATCCAGGCGGTCTGGACCTCAATCTACTCAGCTCTAGCGACAGCAGAGTCCTGCTTACAGTGCGCACCTGAGAGGGACTGGTAGATTAAAGTGACACAGGCAGAATAACAAGAATGCTTCGCCGGAGGTGCCACAGGCACAGACAAAAGGACGTTTCTTAATTCTGAGTGGAGCCTAGAGGAAGGGAAACCCATGGGAAAAAGGGAGAAGGGGGCACTTCAGGCTGAGGGGAGCACAGAATTTATGTGATGTTGAGGCAGTCTGACAGCTGAGATGCGGCGATTCTACCTGCTGGCTAAAGGTATTTAAGCAGATCCAAGCAACAGGTGCTTGCTCCTCCTTCATTACATATGCATATAACACGAGCACCTAAAAGAACACTACATTTAGTAATTTCCATGGCGGGGGGGTGTGTAATTAAAAGGAAAGAAAGCATCACTGGTGGAGAATTGGAACATGCAAAGGATTTCAGTATTGAAAGAACATGTTGCTAGAGGAAACAACCTGAGGCAGTCC